TGCCCGGGAAATTTGAAGTTTGCTAGCATCTTTCAAACAATTTTTTGGTACTCTTGTATGTATGGAATGTTCATAAGTAGAATGTTCTTAAGTAGGGGACTATCTGTATACATATATACATTATATATATATATATATATATATATATATATATATATATATATATATATATATATATATATATATATATATATATATATATATATATATATATATATGCATATTATAAACAGTAAAACAAGAAACATCTTTAAATTACTCATAAAATTTTAAAGATAAAGAAAATAAGTAATATTTATATTCTTTATAAAGATAAATCAACTGCCCTATAGTTTTTGAAATGTCTCTACATATAGATGGCTAAACAACTGCTTAGCCACTATGGAGTTAATTAGTAGGTCTTGTGACCTTACCCAATTTCATTTGTCAGTTTTTGTTACTAATACTATCAGTATCAATGCTGTTGTTTTCATTATAGACATTATAGTCATTATATATCCTTTGCATTACTAATTGCAATGTAAGACAATAAAGAGTACTTCCAAAAATTAGGGAAACGGGTAGAGGCAACATTCCTAGAACTAACAATTCACTCCTTTGTGGAACCAGCCATGTGATATATTGAGCCATCTATATGTAAAGACAATTAATAAATTCATGGTGGGCATGCATGTTCATACATGCCATTCCCAACAGCATCGGGTTAATGACACAATAATAAAATAGTAAAAAAGACAATACTAATAATTAATAAAATACTGAATTAAAACTAGTAGGCTAAATTCATATTTGGAACATGCAAAATGTAAAGGTTTTGACTTTACAGTTCAATCAAGAGAGTAAATAATGATACAATCAGAACTTGCCTACCATTTCTAAGTCACTGACTGGACACTAAGCAGTAAATAAATCAGAACATAAAAAACAGTAATATTTCATTTTAAAAATTAAGTATTCCAAAGGACCTACATCAAACAATATCTTTAGGAATTCCTCAAATTCCACAATAAAGACTTATCCTGCAGTTAGAAAAGGCAGAATAGCTGGGTAAAAATAAAAATAAAAATTGGGGGAGAAAAAACCTTGCGGAAAGAACAATACCAAAAACAGCTGTGGCAGAAACTTGTACCTTGGTGGTTTTGCAAACTAAAAATATGATAGGCAACCATCTACCACCTTATCAACACCGTACAAAAACTGATACCTGTGTACTAATCTCATCATTCACATATGACTGAACCATGGGTGGTCTCCTTCCTCGAGCACTCTAGAAACAGCATTCATCCAATATTTTAAAAAAATGGGAGGATTATTGAAATTCTTTTATGGAAAAGATGACCATTATCTTTTTAAAGAAATGTATATGAATATGTATCTACCATATGTCACTGAAATTCCAAATATAAATGGTTTGGTTAATGAAATACCTACACCACAGAAACGTCCCGTTTTGCATGAAATGATTGTAAGGAGCAACAACATGCCTTCGATGTCAAGTCCCCAGATACAAGGAAGGAGGGCAATATACAAGTGATCATGATGACCAAATTCCATGGGGCTGAGAATCAGGAATCGCCCACAGTCTGACACTCGAGCTGGGCTACCACACAGTTACAGGTAGGTTTTGCATTTACAAGTCAGAAAATAAAGTTGTTAGATCAATCTCCATCAAGTCTATCAGGCCTGTGTATGAAACATATTTCTTCTTTCTCTAAAATTTGAAAACTTTAATCTGGAACACATAAACAGAGAAAGACAAAGTACATCTTAAAAAATTGCACTATTCACTATACTTTTGCCGCAACATCACTACAAACTCACATTATCACATGAGTACCAGGAAAAGAATACAAACTAATAACAATAGTCACTTGCCATAACTTACATTCGCCACTTTGGGTGATCAGGGAATTCCACAACCAGGATATCTTCACTCTGTGGTGTGCCCACTCGATGATAATACAGCTTTTGGTTTTCATCACTTACAACCTCTGTGCCATCTGCAACTCCTGCATGTTCTACATATCTCTGTGAATATGTATAAAAAGATATTAATACACTTTTGTATAATGATAATTCACCTGTAAGTACAGAAACTAATGAGGTTAAGTTGTCTTCAGCAAATAACTTACCCCATAAAATATGCCTTTGTGGTCATGTGTCCAGGCTATGCTGGAGAACTTAACCTTCTCCAGTACCTCAGGGTAGTCTTCGCCACTTGCTACCTGTAGAAGCAGAATCATTCTAAGATCTATTGTATTAAAAAATCTCACTAAAGTGTGAACAATATATCTAAGCCTAGTCATATTATCATTAACATGTTCCATGCCTTTGGCAATGATGTCTACTTGCCCATTGGGAAAAAAAAAAAAATTGCGGACTTAATACTTGACCACCTATAAATCAATATCTAAGGAGCATAACACTGAAAATGCTATATTAAAACAAAATATAAAAACAAGGTATGAACTTCTAAATCTGACCAACTGGTTGGTCACATGCAAAATAAAATGATTGATCGTGCATCATACAAAATGATACTCTTATCCTGAAATGGCACAAAAGTAAAATAATATTCATAATAGTAATAACAATTACTTACTAACCTTTTTAAAATGAATTGTAATCCAATCAGACCCACTGCTACTTAACCCATAAGCATAAATCTCTCCATCCTCACTGAAAGACGAACCAGAGATGGCAACCGTTCCATCTTCTGACAGCGTGTTTGGGTCTAAAAAGACATGAGGTTCCCCATCCAGAGAATCCTGAACGTACATGACACTGCAAAAAGAGCAATGATAATGTCCTTAAAACCCCTCAAACTTTTACCAGAGTTTGTAACTGCAAGCAAAGAGATTAGAGACCTTGATTAAAGTTTTCTTATAAAAAATCTATACAGTATCAAATAGCTCGAACAATACAAAAAAAGCAAGGGAATAAATTTCTGGAATACTCCCATCCTCTGCATAAACTCATGACACAATAATAATTAAAGTGTGTGTCCAATTGTAAGAATATATGGGTATGCTTGTAAACTCCCCAAGACATTAAAACTTACCTCTGATTTTGCAATCCTGTGTTCATGAAGAAGAAGTACCTATTCCCTCTTCGGAAGGGGCATGAATACTTAGGGTAGTTCCACAACTCAGTCAGCTGTGCCTTGATGCTTTCACGTGCACTGCATTTCTCAATGTACGGCATAGTTATTGCATTCTGGGCTTCAACAAATTCTTTGGTCTCCTCTGAATCAGGGTCCTCAAGCCAACGGTAAGGGTCTGGTACCTGGCAATTTTATAAACCCTTCATGAATATGAAGCATACAATGTTAAACATCTTATCAGAGTTCTGCTATCTATATCATTAATAATTCATAGTAGTGAGAACAAAAGAAGGGAATCTTAAAAATACACTGTGCAACCTAAATAAGAAAAAAATTAATAGGTACTTCCAAAACTCTACTTAAAGAATTAAAAATCTACAATGAATATGCTTTTTGCAACCTGTTAAAAAATAAATATACAAAACACAAAAACACATTTTGCTTCAAGTTCACCTTCACACCATGGAGCTCCTCCACCGATGATTCATCGCGACGCACTTTTGGGTACTCCATTTTCATGTTGCAGAGGGTGACTCGGGTCTTTTCATTCAAGGAGAACAGACTTTTGGGGAAGGACTGGGGAAAAAAGGGATAATTGAATATCACAGTCTTTGATCTGAGAGAAAAACATTTATGCATCACATGTTTACATCTTATATATATATATATATATATATATATATATATATATATATATATATATATATATATATATATATATATATGTATATTCATGTGTATATATATGCATATAGAAATATCTATATCTATGTATACATATAGGTATATATATATTTAAGTATACATATAGGTATATATATTTTTAAGTATACATATAGGTATATATATATTTTTAAGTATACATATAGGTATATATATATTTTTAAGTATACATATAGGTATATATATATTTTTAAGTATACATATAGGTATATATATATTTTTAAGTATACATATAGGTATATATATATTTTAAGTATACATATAGGTATATATATATTTTAAGTATACATATAGGTATATATATATTTTAAGTATACATATAGGTATATATATATTTTAAGTATACATATAGGTATATATATATTTTAAGTATACATATAGGTATATATATATTTTAAGTATACATATAGGTATATATATATTTTAAGTATACATATAGGTATATATATATTTTTAAGTATACATATAGGTATATATATATTTTAAGTATACATATAGGTATATATATATTTTAAGTATACATATAGGTATATATATATTTTAAGTATACATATAGGTATATATATATTTTAAGTATACATATAGGTATATATATATTTTAAGTATACATATAGGTATATATATATTTTAAGTATACATATAGGTATATATATATTTTAAGTATACATATAGGTATATATATATTTTTAAGTATACATATAGGTATATATATATTTTTAAGTATACATATAGGTATATATATATTTTTAAGTATACATATAGGTATATATATATTTTTAAGTATACATATAGGTATATATATATTTTTAAGTATACATATAGGTATATATATATTTTTAAGTATACATATAGGTATATATATATTTTTAAGTATACATATAGGTATATATATATTTTTAAGTATACATATAGGTATATATATATTTTTAAGTATACATATAGGTATATATATATTTTTAAGTATACATATAGGTATATATATATTTTTAAGTATACATATAGGTATATATATATTTTTAAGTATACATATAGGTATATATATATTTTTAAGTATACATATAGGTATATATATATTTTTAAGTATACATATAGGTATATATATATTTTTAAGTATACATATAGGTATATATATATTTTTAAGTATACATATAGGTATATATATATTTAAGTATACATATAGGTATATATATATTTAAGTATACATATAGGTATATATATATTTAAGTATACATATAGGTATATATATATTTAAGTATACATATATGTATATATATATTTAAGTATACATATATGTATATATATATTTAAGTATACATATATGTATATATATATTTAAGTATACATATATGTATATATATATTTAAGTATATTTATATGTACATATATTTTTAAGTATACATATATGTACATATATTTTTAAGTATACATATATGTACATATATTTTTAAGTATACATATATGTACATATATATTTAAGTATACATATATGTACATATATATTTAAGTATACATATATGTACATATATATTTAAGTATACATACAGGTATATATATATTTAAGTATACATACAGGTATATATATATATTTAAGTATACATACAGGTATATATATATTTAAGTATACATACAGGTATATATATATTTAAGTATACATACAGGTATACATATATTTAAGTATACATACAGGTATACATATATTTAAGTATACATACAGGTATACATATATTTAAGTATACATACAGGTATACATATATTTAAGTATACATACAGGTATACATATATTTAAGTATACATATAGGTATATATATATTTAAGTATACATATAGGTATATATATATTTAAGTATATATATATATATATATATATATATATATATATATATATATATATTTAAGTATACATATATGTACATATATTTATGTATACATATGTACATATATTTATTTATACATATGTACATATATTTATGTATACATATGTACATATATTTATGTATACATATGTACATATATTTATGTATACATATGTACATATATTTATGTATACATATGTACATATATTTATGTATACATATGTACATATACTTATGTATACATATGTATATATACTTATGTATACATATGTATATATACTTATGTATACATATGTATATATACTTATGTATACATATGTATATATACTTATGTATACATATGTATATATACTTATGTATACATATGTATATATACTTATGTATACATATGTATATATACTTATGTATACATATATATATATACTTATGTATACATATGTATATATATACTTATGTATACATATGTATATATACTTATGTATGTGTACTTGTGTATACATAAGTATATATACATATGTATATATACTTATGTATACATATGTATATGTATTTAACTATACATATATGTATATATATTTAAGTATACATATATGTATATATATTTAAGTATACATATATGTATATATATCTAAGTATACATATATGTATATATTCATGTATATGTATATGTATTTATACTTATGTATACATATTATATATATACTTATGTATACATAGGTATATATAACTATGTATACATATATATACTTAAGTATACATATATGTATATATACTTATATACATATATTCATACACACATATGTATAATTATATATACACATATATTCAGACATACATGTGTATATTTATATATTACATATATTCACATATACATATATATCTATATATTCATACATACATATATATATCTATATATTGCATATATCCATATACTACACATTACATATATATGTATATATACTTTATATATGCACAAATATATTATATACTCTTATAATATATATATATATATTATATATCATATATATTACATATATATACATTATATGTGTATATACATTATATACATATCATACATATATATTATATATGATATTTATTATATATCATACTTATTTATATATATATATATATATATATATATATATATATATATATATATATATATATATTATATATATAATATATACAATATATGAATTATATATATTATATATAATACATGTATTATGTGTATTACATTTATTATATTACATATGCTATACACATTCTATATATATGTATATTGTAGTGTTGTCCTCATACTACAATAATTCATTCATTCAATCTTCCCGTCCATGGCATTGACTCCATCACGAATGATTAGGAATTTGGCCTAAATTATAGGCTCATAACCTAAGCGTGCGTACTTGTTACCGATTTTGTTTAATTTACCTTTAGATATCTATCTTACACCAGCAAAATAATAATAATAATAATACCACTGAATTAGTGCATTGACAGTCATCATTACTAGCATAATACAAGCGTCAAATCATTCATCACTAGACGACAAAAAAAAAATCTCCTCGAGCAGCCTTTATCAAATAATTCATTAAAATTGTCTAGGGACCATGTTGAAACTCCTCTGCATAACAGGGGTGCAAATAAATACTAAAGGAAGGGAAAATAGATATATTAGCATTCAGCTCGCGATTTTTGTATGGGAGTTTCGGTAACTTAGCAACACCCATAGAGAGACCACTTAATTTCTACAACTACTGCCGTTTCTCCGCGATGGTAGGCTTTCACACACAATAAATGGCAAGCAGGGACTTACAGA